GAGAGCACACACACACTCACTCAACTCGACGCAGACTCGACACGACTCGACGGACGCAGACACGAAGTGGCAAAGTCGCAAAGTCGAAGTCTTGGATTTCCGAACACCATGTCGAAGCAAGTCACACTGAGTACGAGTACAGCAGGAAACTGGTATGAGACTGGTCCCCATACCGTACGGGAAGCCGGTATAAGTACCGGTGACACGTACGGTACCAGGGGCATTTCTGCAAAGGCCCCGAGGGCAGAACTGAAAAATGCGGTATTTGAAAGTGGCGCCCGAATTGCAGCATGGCGCCAGTTGTCCAAAATCCTACGGTACCAAAGGAGGGGTTTGGAAAAAGGGTGCCAGGCCGAAAACGGGATGCAACCGAAACAGCAAAAAGATAGACCAGGGATCGAGCCCTGGCGGAGTCCGTAACACCTTGTGTGTTTGTTGTAGGATGCGTGAGAGAATATTGGAGGTTAGACCGCGTGGGGAAGATCGTGGGCGGGCGAAGTTTGGGTGGGGGATCTTTGAGTAGGATGGGCGATTGTTTTTTTTTGTTGTGATTGTACTGTTGATGGGTGGGAATTTGAGAGGCTGAGTGAGCTGCAGTAAGGTCGCGTGGCTTGGTAGATTGCAGGATACGAACTGGAGTAGAAGGATTGGTGGATTGGCGAGCGCGATGGAGTGATCTGGTAGGTTTGGGGGGGGGGAGAGCTTGGTAGAATCGGGATGGGAACTTGGAGAGATAGGATGGCGAGAGTTAGTGCTGGTGTGGTCGTAGACGGTGTAGACGGGGATGGTGGTAGGGAGCTTCTTACGGAGGAGCTAGTCGTTTGATCCTGGTCTTCTTCGCTGCAGCAGGCTGAATGTGGGACTCTCGTGGGGCCTGATGCCGTCTAGGGAGCGGGTCTCTTCGCTCCTCTACCTGTTGCTTGTTGTCCGGCGGAGGCGGCTTCCGGCTTAGTCTCGTTCTTCAGTCTTCGGTCTTCTGGAGATGATGCCCGGGATGGGCTGCCGGCAGGATGGCTGCTGCAATTGGCCACCCCGGTTCGCCTATGCAGCAGCGTTCCTTGTGTTGGCACGCGCCCAGGGGGCGCACTTCGGCGGGGCGTCTTCACGCCCTCGTGGCGATGGCGGGCTTGCAGCCCAACTTCGAAGTGTTCAAAGTCGGGCGCGCGCGGCGCGCGGGCGGTTCGGCGGGAGGGTGGTGGACTGCGGATTGCGGTTGGTGTCAGCCTGTCGGGCCGGGGTTGGGGCCATGCGCTAGCACGAAATAGAACAGCGCTAAAAAAATGCGCCAACCGATGGTGCGGGCGCGATGGATGGAGTTGAGACAATCCCCTGAGGCCTCAATTTTCAGACAACTTCTCATGCCATTTATAACAAAACCCAAGGGTCATTTTAACTGAATACCAATTCATAGAGTGGAGGTCGTACTAACTACTTGCAAAAACAAAATTTGAAAAAAAGACTTAAAAAAAAAAAAAAAAACCCTATAAAACAGTGAGGCAAAAGTGCACTTTCATGAAATTTCGCCAACATTCCAACTTCTCACATCCATTCATCAATACAAGCACGATGTGGCAACTCGACAATGATGTGACCGCCTATGCTACTCTCCTGCTCTGTCTTTGTACACAGCCTATTTCTCTTTTTCACATTCTCTTAGTTTGGTCCACTCTCCTCTCGCCTAGCAACGCTGTGGAGTCTGACCACCATGAGTGTGCTCTTTGGCCATCACCCGGTAAGGCCGCCTGTTCTCACAGCTGTCCTTCTCCCATGATCACCCGAGCCACACTGCCACCCTTCTCCCACCTCAGTGCAGCTATGGCTTCTGCTGAGCGGAGCAGCTCTGTCGCGGCTGCTCCTCACCTCCGTCCTCATGTGAGTGCTTGGCCTTGCTGTGGGCGCCTGCAACAGAGCTAGCACTGGCAGCCAGTGCCTCTGAATGTGTGGAATGCTGCACCCTCCTCCCTTTTGTCACTTTCTGGATGTTGTGGCTGCCTGGACTGGGACTGCGCTCTTTCTAGACTGAGAACCTTCCGTGATTTCCAGGGCATCAGCCTCTGCAGCTATAAGCCAGAAGGGGCAAGGCCTACTGGTTGGTTGGAGAGGCTGCGCCCACCCTTCCTTCCCAACTGTATCGCACCAGCTTTCACTGAGGGCAGGTGGATTTTCCTTCTGCTGCGGCCTTCACCTAGGGCCGGGCCTAATTTTCCTGACGGTCTCCGATGGAGGCCTGCCAAGGCCTGAACCCTCGCAGGGAGTCTTGCGGAAACTTGGCACCTATACTTCGAATATAGCTGCCCATGACATATGGACATTGTATTCGGAGAAAGACCGGAGTCCTTAGGAGCGGTGTGACTAAAGCTTCCCAGAGAGTTCTGAGATTAGGCCAATCTACAGCTGATCGGAGTGGAGTTCCACTCTGGCAGAGCTGGTAAAGCGTATTAAAACTCTAGAATGCAAAGGGTACCAAACAATTCACCAACAGATTCTGACGATCTCTGCGCCATGAAGTCGTCTGGACCAGGTGACCTTGAGAGTATGTGGAGTTTGTGAACCATCTAGGAGATGTGACCTGCATACCGGAGGACAATGTGCATTCTTTCTGTGGGCCATGCGGTCGATGAAAGCCATTCGAACAGCATGGAGTGGGGGCCACTCACGTCTGAGGTGGGGTCTTAACTAGTCGAGCAGAAAAATCCGATGATTCAAATGATGATTGTGAATCCGCTGAGTGGGACTTAGATGCGCAACATATGTGGGATGAGGGGATTTAACCATGATTTACATGTTCCTTATGATGGCAGGTGGTGGTCATTGCGCTTCCAGTGAAGTCTGTCATTGGATGTTACCAGTGGGAAAGAACCTTGATGGCCCTTCTCCTTTCTGTTTCTGGAGTCTTCTTTGTCATTGGTTCCGTTTGGGTGCTGTTTCACTCATGTCGAATCTCTCAAGAGAAAGACCTTCAGGACGAACTTAGTCATCAGAAGGTTGAAAACAAACGCGCGCAAGATGAGAAGCAGCGTGCAGAACTGTCAAGCTCCATAAAAAGCCGCTTCCTTGCAAACATGAGGTATGAACTTTGATCCTTCTGCAGTGATCGAGGTCTCGTGCCTATCAAGAGTTGTTGTTCTATTTTCCTGTCCTGCATTTCATTTCCTGTTTTTAACTTCAATTTCTTCGAAGTTCAAACTTCTTACTATTTTCTCTCTCCCGGTATCCTCCGCCTCGCTTTTTCATGTGCATATCCCTACTCGTCTTCCCAGCATCCTCCCTTTTGTCTTTTTATCAAATTTTATGCCTATCTTTCTCCCTTTGCTTCTTTGATTTCTCCTCCTACTTCCTGTTCTCCCTCTCGTTTAGCTATTTCACCCTGGATTCCCTGCTGTCCTCTCTGTTTGCCTTCTCTTATTCCTTCTCATCTCAGCTCCATCACATGGTGCTTCTGCTCTTCTTCGTTCTCCTCAGAGATCCACCTTCCGCTCTCCCCTTGGGCCCTTAACGCTGCTCCTCTCCTGGCTTCGCTGCTCGTGCTTCTTCTCACGCTGCTTCAAACTCCCCCCAAATGTTCTCTTTCGGCTCAATGGTGTCCGCACCCTCCACCTTCTTCTATGATTTGCCCACCCTCTGGCCTACCAGTCGGTCGCCTTTGTTGACATCCAAGGTCTACGTTGTGGTCTCTAAAATCTCACCTTACCCACTTGGCAAAGCCGAGTGCGCGAAGGATGGGTAGAAGGGAGTGTGCGAAGGATGGGGACCCCTCGAATGGCCTTCGGAACGTTCGGCCTGTTTCATGAATACTTCCTAAGCTTGTGTAACAACCGCAGCTTCGTAGGTGCTTGACACTGACAGCGCAGCCTTGATAATTAATCATGGATGGAAGTGACCTGCGAACTGCCCAGATCATTTGCTCCTGACAGCCCTGCGCATGCCCTGCGCATGAGGGAGAGCTCCGAGGAGCCAGTGCCAAGAGGGACGTGCAAAGCACACCGAAAGCACTAATGTCAATGATTCAGCAAGTGAAATAAAAAGCTTGAACACATGAAACGGTAAAGAGATGGTGGATGTTTTTGATTTGTCTTATCACTGTAATATTTGGAATCTGTTTTCAGCGCATTGCTTCTTGTCTGTGCTGCGGAACAGCACAACTCCTGAACTCCATTGAAATTCATCGGCTCATACAAGCGGATTGGCCAACACCTTTGGTAAATGACTGGCTATCGGTTTACCTGGAATGCCATGGGTGGCCCTAGAGGTTTAGCAAAATAGGTTCGGAATTGGCAATGGTCGAATTTCCGTGGGCAGCCCTGGGAAAAATGCATAAGTGGAGGACCACAGCACAATTGCCGGGGGTCAGGGTTGGCAGAAGGTGAAACAAAGGGCGGGTGAAGGCAAGGCTGAACATCAGGTTATCTTTACGCTGACTTCTGTCTGTGTTCAGTCCTGGTGAATTATAATCAGAGAATGCAATTCCTTTCTCTTTTTCAGAAGTCTGAGCTCTCCTCACACGTAATGCTGTATGTTTTCATTGTGCAGCCACGAGCTGAGGACACCTATGGCAGGAATCATTGGTAAGTCGTTATGCCAACACATTTGTGTGTGTTTGAGGGTTTGGAGGAGCAGGGGGGGGCGGGGGGGTGA